CTGACTTCTTTTTGTGGCATCTGATAATCCTGTTTTCCTTCAGATGGTCTAGTCTGCTCTTGGTTTTGTTGACACTACGATTTCCTGGTTCTACATTTCTCACCCTCTTTTCAGCCTCCTGATTTCATCTGCCTAACCTTAAAGTGTGCTCTTCAGGATTCTGTCCTAGCTTCTTTGATTCTCTTGCTCTTGCACATTCTCAGAGTGATCTCTTTCATTAGTCCAACAAACAGAAAATAGATCTGTGCAAGTCATGGGAGGTCCAGGAATGAGATACTGATTTTACTCTTAGGATGTCCAAATTCTATTAGAGGAGGCAGAATACTAAAAGAAGATTTTTTTTTTAAGTATAATATTGTAGAGTGACTGGTGAGAAAAGTTTGGATCATAAAGGTACTCATGTAATTAATAGGGAGTTTTCAATTAATTTTGAGGGTAAAGAAAAATCAGTCAAGGATTTCATGTTATAAATGACAATTAGATTTGTATATTAGAAAGTTCATCCTGGAAATGGGGTGGAGAAGAGATTAAAGAGTGATAAGTTAGGAGGTTCCTGTAGCAAGCAAATTATGAGTCTAAACCAGGGCAATGACATAGAGACAGAAAAGAAGGAAAGGATTAGATGGCTATGAAAAAGGTAAATTAGATGAGATTTGTTTATCTGGATATAAGAAGTGAAGATATAAAAAGGTTGAAGGAAGCCCCACAGTTTATACTTAGCTTACCAAATCAATATGGGTTACTAGAGACTTAGGGACATATGAGGAGAAACAAGTTTAATGAAGAAGGGATGAATTCAACTTTGAGTTTAAATTATTTGTAAAATCTTTAGATTAGGATTATCCAATGTAGGCACTATTGACATTTTGGGCCAGGTAATTCTTTGTTATAAGGGGTTGTCCTTTTCCTGAAGGATGTTTAGCAGCATCCCTAATCTCAACCTGCTAGATGCCAGAAGAACCTGACCCCTAGTTAGTCGTGAAAATAAAAAATGACTCCAGACATTGCCAAATGTTCCCCAAGGGACTAGGGATGAGGGAGGGATGAAACTGTTGGCTTGCTGAGAATCGCTGATTTAGATGGAGATTGCTCCCGTGGTTTCAGCTGTCATGCATATGCTAATGATACTCATATCTCAGCCCACACCTTCTCCTGAGCTCTAGACTCAAATAATCAACAGCCAGATTGGTTAGACAGGATGAGGACTAATTCCGTTCAAGGTGATTTTTACATTCATTCCATCTGTACACATTCTTTTCGGGATCCCATTCATGGTGCCAGTTCTTTAAATTCATAAAAGGGCAAAAACTGTTGTCCAATTCTTGTATGTACAGAGGAATTTCTCTTGAGAAAAGAAAAAATGAGAGAGGAAAGAGATATGATTTTACTTTTGTTTATGGGTTTTCTTTTTTTTTTCTGGGAGTAATGGCTTCTTGGTAGCTAAAGAGGTACATCTTCTAAGACCTTTGGGAAATGTATGAATTGAGAAACAGACTATTCAATTACTTGACATTGGTCAGATAATAGGTTGTCCTAAATTCATGGATTTAAGTGTGTCAAGGAGAGTTCATTCTCTTGGTGTGGAAACGGAGCTAACAATTTTTTCCCTTTCATTTTGTTATTTTCCCCAATGCTGAAATTAATATGTTTATGGCAGAAATATTTAAAACAAAAAGGTTCAAAAAATTTTTGTTTACCCATGAATTGATCACTCCAATGATATTTTTCTATATTTTATGTCCTTATAAAAATTAGAATCATGTTGAATATAAAATTTTGGTTTTTATATTTTTAAACACTAAGTATAAAGATTTCATGACTGCAAAGTTATAATTCAGTTAACCGTTCCTATTGAGTAATTACTTTTCAATATTTTAGTGTCATAAATAATGCTTCAGAAAACTTCCTCACCCTAAGACTACAGTAACATTTTAGTAAGCTAGAGTCCTAGAGGGGTGTATCTAGGTCCCTGATACAGGTTGTCATATTGTATCCCAGAATAACTGTACCAGTTTCCACCTTCATCCTCAGCAATATTTAAGATGATTTTCATCTTTCTTATCAAGTCTCTTTTTAAAAAATTGCTGCCTGTCTGATATTCACAAACATTTTTTTCATCTTAAGTTGGGCAATAATATTTGTGTTATTTGGCATTTTCTAAGGGGCGTACTGCCCATTGATACAGTGGCTTCTCTTCCTTCTTTTTTAAATTACAGAAATAATAGACACTTGTTTGAACTTGCATTCATTACAACAAATGTGTTATTTTGTAATTTAATATAACACTGAAGGAAATCAAAGTTTTTCTTATGCCAGTATCCACCCCGCTGAGGTAACCATAACACTCCTGTTCATGATGGGCCACACTGTTCTGTACACTTACATAACGCATATCAACATAGGCATGAAAGGGGACTGTACATTTCTTTTCCTTTTACTATTATGGTTATTCTTTTTTTTAGACTTTTTTAAATTTATTTTTTATTTGTTGATGAGACTTTTTTTTTTTTTTAATGTTGTGCTGCAAATCAACCCCAGTGATTGACACATGCCAACAAGGCAAGAGATCTACTACAACCCCAGGCCTCATGCCTATTCTTATTGTTATGCCTTTTACTATTAGTTTTATCATGCCCAGGACTCTGCTTGCTTTGATAACTTAATAATATGTCTTAAATGTCATTTTAAGTCAATGCACCTAGACTTATTGCTCCTCACTTTTAAAAATAGATAGCTCTGCATGTATCAAAATATCATGTGGCTGGAGTCAGTGGCACATGCCTGTAATCCCAGAGGCTCCAGAGGCTGAGACAGGAGGATTTCGGGTTCAAAACCAGCCTCAGCAAAAGCGAGGCACTAAGCAACTCAGTGAAACTCCATCTCTAAATAAAATACAAAATAGACCTGGGGATGTGGCTCAGTGGTTGAGTGCCCCTGAGTTCAATCCCTGGTACTTGACCTGCCCCCCCACTCCCCTCCTGCCCCCAATCACATGGTATCCCATTGATATGTAAAAATTTTATGGATTTAAGTATGTTGATAAATACATTTAATTTAAAAAATAAAATAGTTAACTCAGTTGAAAAAAGTAATAAATAAACATAATGCAAGAGTATATGGTGATAGCTGGGCATGGTGGCACATGCCTGTAATCTCTGCTACTTGAAAGGCTGAGCAGGAGGACTCCAAGTTCAAGGCTGGCCTTGGCAATTTAGTGAGACCCTGGTTTTAGTACAAATATCCAGAAGCAAATCCTTCAGTTGAATATATCTTTAGGACAAGTTGTTCGGTTGATCTACTCATGTATATCCTTTAAGAACCATCTCGAACATCACCTACTCTGAAAACCCTCACTGACCTTTCCTAGGTGTGACACTGTGCCTTAGAGTATCTTGAGGCTAAATCTCCTACACATATCTCACTGTATTATGTAATTCTTTGTTTGTATGTCTGTCTTCTATACTTCATGCAAGCCCTTTATTTCAAAGTACTTAGCAAGGTCCTGTTTATACAATAGTTGTTTAATAAATATGGTTGAATGACTGGGTGCTCAAACTCATATCAATCTCTTCATTGACTCCCCCCACCCCCATTATCTCTAAGAGCTCTTAGTGCTTATATCAATCATTTTGCTAACTGCCTTAGTTTTTTTTCTCCATTCTTTCAGATGTGTACTGGGTTCTGTTGACATTAAACATAGATGTCTTGACCAAGTGTATCTAACTCTTTCAGCCTCAGTTTCTCCATCTGTAAAAGGGGGGAGGTTAAATAGTACCTCAATAAAAGCGTTGTATGAAATAATTCATTAAAGTGCTTAGCACAATCTTTGGCACATAGTATGTGCTCAAAGTATAAGCTTGACCTACATCTATGTCATCTCTCTCTAGCAGTCTCCTAGGGTGGTTGTGAAGAATAAATAAGATACTAATGAAACCATGTTGTAATACATTGAGTATTTATTACCTTTATTTTCACCGACTCCCTAACAAGGTTAGAAGCCTGTGTCAGCCTTCATTACTCAAGTCCCAGTCTTTGAGCAGGATGCATAAAGCCTTCTTTACTCAGCCTAGCTTCCATTTTACAGCCTCATCTCAATCACTTTCTTCTCAGCATCTATCATAGATTTATGTGCTTGTGAGATAGGTGTTCAATATGTATTTAAAGACAGTGGCAGCTTTAGAATTAGCAAGGCCTTTAGCTAAAAGTGAGGCCTGCTCTCTTTGTTGGATATTTGTTTGTAGAACTTGATAACTTTTTGCCTTGGTCAATTCACTCCTGACATTTTGGTGATGTAGTATTACATTAGGCTTCCTCTGCTTTGTGGTAGGACCGTTTCTGCTTTTGGAATGTATGAAAAGGAGGCTGTCTTAGCCAGTGCCCTACTTTTCTCCTACTAGAAATACAAATTATGTTTATATAACTCTTGTATTGCTGCATGACTGAAAAGTGCTTGACTGGGATCCTTTCTGATAGTTTAGCAGTATTTACCATCACAATGTAAAATTTTCACTCGGATTTTAGGAAGGGATAATAAAACATTCAGAAACAGAAACAACAAAACCTCCAAAGGTTAAAGCTTTCAGTTACTGGATGGAAACACTGGTACGGTTACAATGAATCAACATGGGTGAAAGTTCCCATAATCTCATGCATGTTTTCTCAATTCCCAAAAAGGATTTGAAGTAACATACGGGTAAAGCGCATTACAATAAGACCGAGAAATGAAGCCAGTGCGAGTTATCTGAATTCCGATGCTCCTAAAACCCTTCAGCATTTTCTGAACTCCCCAGGGTTTATGGGGCGACAGGACAACGACTGGAGGCAGGCCTGGAGAATCCAGGTGAGGGGTCGCTGGGGAGGCGAGGTGCGCAGGAGCGGAGGTCCAGCAGCCCGAGTGCCCACGCCGGCTCCACGAGCTAGCGCTCCCCGGGCTCTCTCCGCCCCGTGGGCCGGGCCAAGAGGGCTGAGCCGGCCGAGCCGGGGGAAGGAGTTTCCGGCGGACTCAGCGTGGTGTCGCTTCCTGTCCCTCTTGCCGCACCGGTTCTCGCTGTGGTCCCGGGACGCGGTTGGGCCTGGGACCCTTAGCTGTCCCTGGCAGGACCCCGGCTCCATGCAATCCCGCCTCCTGCTCCTCGGAGCGCCTGGCGGCCGCGGGGCCTCGGCCTCGCGGCGTGTGCGACTGCTCCTGCGGCAGGTGGTGCGGGCCAGGCCGGGCAGCGATGGGCAGCGGCCGGAGGTCAGACTGCTGCACGCCGGGGCGGGGGCAGACACAGGTAACCCAGGCGCCCCCGCCGTGCTCCCTGCGGCCTGCGCTGGGTCCGGGCCTCTGCCGGCTGCTGCCTCGCGGCACTCGGCTGGAGCGCTTGCTGTCACGGTTGCTAAGTTCTCGTCCCATCTCACTGCTAACTGCTGCGTAATGTGGGGCAAAGCGCTGGCACTCTCTGGGCTTCATTCTGTAACTTGAGGGTCTGGACTAAAGATCCTGATGACCTGTTCTCCTTCTCCACTGGCGCGTTTACCCCCAGAAATCTGACTTGATTTATAGTACATGTAGAGGTTAATGCAGCAGCCTTGCAAGTTTTTGAAAGCTGGAATTGACCTTGCTTTCTGAGTGCCCCCAAAGGCTTGGGCCTGGAAGCCATAGTGCTATGCCATATAGCTATGCCATATTCCCTGCAGGCATTGACATTGAGTAAAAGCATACATTCTGGTCAAAGAACCCATAGTTGACTGTGTGATATATCTCCACAAATCTTTTCGAGATCTACACTAGTCTTTCCAAGTTCCACGTATTCTTAGAGCTGAAAATCACAGGTTCATTTAGCCTAAACACTAAATGTGTGTGTGTGTGTGTGTGTGTGTGTGTGTTTGTGTGTGTTTGTGTGTTGTTGTGATTTGCTACAGATCACACAATTAGTGACTACACTAGAACTACATAACTACATGCTCTGATTTCTAAACTTGGCATTTTTTTTTTGTCTCTACTTGAGGTGGTTTCAGGAATTCTCTTTGTTTTATATTGGAATTTGAGTGTTTGTGATGATTAAGGGAAGAGATGTATGTTGCTGTTCTTCAATGTCTAAGTTATTTCTAGGAAAAATTTTGTCAATGTCATTGTTGCTTAGAATGATGGAGGTTTTCACTATGAAATCGTTGATTTCATTGTTCCTCTTGCTTTCTCTCTTCACCTAATACTTTTTCTTCCCAAGAAATGAGTCAGTTTTACCTCCCGTTCATTCATTCATTCATTCATTGAACAAATGCTTCCAGCAGAACTGAAATTCAGAGTTTGCCTTTCTCTAGTTGTGGTGTCTAGAATATTTGTTTTGTTTTTATTTGTTATGTTATTTGTTGTTTGTTGCTCCTCTATCCTAAAGGCAGAGGTCAAGGGCAGGCATGTAGCATAATCTATACCTTGGGTTTTGGAGCTAAACAGTTTTAGTTGGAATCTACTTCTGCACTATCTAGCCGTGAGGACTTGAAGGTAGGTTACTTCTGTTCCAATTTTAACTGTAAAATGAGGTTAGGAAGATAGGGTTGTTGTGAGGATTCAACTTGCAGTTCAGTACATATATTATTAGTATTATACATTCTTAGCTAGGTGAAAGTTATTCTGCTTCAGTGGCTTTAGAAGAAATGAAACCAGTTACTTTTAGGTTCAGAAGTATCTGGATAGGCAGATGGAGTAGAGTTAATTGACACATTTTTAAAAATAGAAGTTACTCTCTATACCTGAATAATATTTGTTGATTGTAAAAATATTAGAAACACATGTGAATGTAAATTTTAAGTCTGTATTATATAGATGGTGGTAAATGTCCTCAAAATTTGTGTTATGTTCAACAATTCAAAGTATAGGCGTTGTTTCAAATGCAAGTCACAGATATGTGAATAACAGTTTAACTTCTTAGACTCAGCCATTGACTTTGGCAGAATAAGAACACAAGAAGTACAGTATGTTGACCTAACTTGTCTTGCTGCTACAAAGATTTGTAATGCTGAAGGTTTGAGGCATGTGTGGATCCATGCACCTGGAAACTTATCAGAGATCTGGGCTCAAGTAAGAAAAGTTATGAGCCAGGGAAACAGAAGGCAGTTCTTGGCTACCCTGACATGTTAGGGCAAGGCCTTCCAGGTTGGAGTGGCCTGTTTGGAACCAGAGGTCATATGTTGACAAATGTAAAAAAAAAAAAAAAAAAAAAAAAGCAGTAGTTTATAATGGATTCATATTTATAATGAAAAGAGGAAAAGAGGCTCTGAGCTGCACTGATATATGTGACCAATAATTTACTAACTCCTCTTTATAATTGACATTGCTTCCTTAGCAGTTTTGGGGAAAAAAAAAGTACACAGCAAAGTACATAAATAACATATTCTTCTTTCCCCTGGACTTTATGTCTTATTTATCATTATGTTGCTTTGGGGCCTGCCAATACATTGTATTTAATAAGTCTTCAGTGGCTTACTAGGTTAAAGATCAGAGAACCAGTGTGAGAAGCTGTGATTGCGTTGTTGGCTCTCAAGATAGAAACTTTACTAAGCCTGATAAGAAGAAAGATAGGTCATTTATGGAAAAATAAAACAACACAAAATCCCAAAGCCACTGTTTTTTATTCTTTGTTTTTAGATATAGTAAGTATCTTCAATTTGTAAATTCTTTATCCCTTTACACTTCTATTAGTAGTAGTGTCTCTTGGTTTTAGAAACAGAGGGGTTAGTTAACAAGGAGTTTATTTACTGCAGAGTTTTTAATAAAGAATATTGTAGTGTTTTCACAGATGGAGCCAAGTAAGTTGGTTCAGTAGGACTCTGATGTGAAATGGATTCAAATATACTAAAAATAAAATGAGAAACTCAGAAACACAACTATGTAAATCCACTATGACATTTAGTGTTCTCTTTCAACACAATTTTTAGTGGATTCACTGCTTTTTCTTTATGACTTCTGTGTATGAATTAAATGTTTATAGAAATACTTAAAAATACTTTTGCATAATCAATCTATATTCATTATAGAAAACTGGAAAATACAAATCCCCTAAACAGTCCTCTCACCCAAATTTATAATTGTCAACTTTTTAAAAATATTTTTTTAGTTGTTAATGGACTTTATTTTGTTTATTTATATGTGGTGCTGAGAATTAAACCCAGTGCCTCACACATGCTAGGCAAGCACTCTACCACTGAGCCACAATCCAAGCCCTAATTGTCACTTTTTTGCTATTAATCCTATCAAGTTTTATTGATCTCACTATAATAAAACATTTATGCAAAAACATTGTTTGAAAAATGGGATATGTGTTTTGTGACACATTGTTGTGAATATATCAACATAATATTGCCATGCATGATCATTTAAAATAGGAATTATTAAATTAATGTATTTATCCACATAATTTATCTTATTGGTTTCTCATTCTTGGATATGTAGATTGTCTATTTTAAAACATAAACAGTGAAATAAATGTCCATTTATAAACATTTTTGTGATTTTGAGATTACACCTTTGGGCTATAATAGAAATAGTAATAAATGACACTGGGGAGGGAAAATATAGAACTCTGGCTTAAACTGAGAAATCCAGTATAAAGGGAAAAGAACTATACTTTGGTTTAGGTCTTAATTCTATATTGACTTGGTATTGAACCTTGGGAAATTATAAACTATTTTGACCCTGCAATAGGACATTTTGACTCTGAGGATCTTCTGATAGTGTTTATATATTAAAGAATTTAGCAGAAATATTCCAGAAGAGTTGTAAACGTACAAATCATTAGGAAGACCCATATCAGGAACACATAGACCAAGATGGAAATTGATATATTTGGTTTTCTCTTGGGTCTCAGTTTTGTGTATTAAAGAAAGGTGCCACTGACCCATTTGTTCTTAACCTGAGGTGATTCCCCTCCCCCAGGGGACATTTGGCAAGGTCTGGAGATGGTTTTGGTTGTCAGAACCATGAGGGAGGGCTACTACTGTCATTTTGTGTGTGGAGATCAGTGATACTGCTAAACATTCTATAATACACAGGACAGCTCCTCTGTTTTAGTGAGCTTTTTTGCTGCTGTGACCAAAAGACCTGACAAGAACAATTTTAGAGAGGAAGAGTTTATTTGGTGCTCACAGTTTCCGAGGTCTCTGAACATAGATGGCTGTTTCTAGATGGCCAACTCCATGGTTCTGGTCCAAAGATAAGGCAGGACATCTTGGCAGAACAGTGTGGTAGAGGAAAACACCCCCACCAGGAAAGAGATAGCTCCACTCTCTTGGAACAAAATATATATCCCAAAGGCATGCTCCCTATGACCTACTTTCTCTAGACACACTTTACCTGCTTACAGTTGCCACCAAGTTAATCCCTATGAGACGATTAATTCATGGACTCTGTTAAGGTTTTCATAACCCAATCATTTCACCTCTAAACTTTCTTGCATTGTCTCACACATGAGCTTTTGGGTCACTTGATGTCTAAACTATAACACTGTCACAATGAAGAAGTATCTATCCAAAATGTCAATAGTGCCACGTTTGAGAAACCATGAACTAAACCAACTTCTTTGTCAAAGCTTGTTAAAAACTTCATACAAATCAAATTTAAGAGTTTAACTAAGCAATGAATGATTGGCAAATCAGATAGCTCTAGAACCAGAAAAGTTTCAGCAAGGTTCACATAGCAATGAGGGCAAGCAGCACTTATGGACAAGAAACAAGTGCAGTTCAGAAAGAACTTGATGGATTATAGTTCACTGTGTGCCTTATTTGCCCATGGTTTGATCAGTTGGCAACCTGTGTTGACTGAAGCTGGGCTTGGTGTGACTGGCTAAGACTCAGTTAATATAAAAGTATATTAAGTTAGGTTTTCAGCAAGTTTACTAAATTGATTTACATTTTTAGAAGCCTCTTGCTTGATGCTCTAATGTTTGGGGATTTTCAGATACCTTTTTGATTTGATTTCTAGTTTAATTTCACTGAGAAAGCATACTCTATGATTTTAGTCCTTTAAAATTTATCAAGACTTGCTTCATGGTCCAGTTTATAATATACTTGGATGAATTTTCCATGTACATTTAAAAAGAACTTGTAATATGCTGTCATTAGGTGTAATGTTCCAAAAAGGTTTTGTAGGTCAAGTGATTTCAGATCAATACTCTTCTCTGCCCTTATCTTTGATACTTAATCTTAGCCAAAAGACTAAGAAGCAATTGTCCTAACTTCTGTATTCCTTTCTCCCCCTGTTCCTTCCATCAATTTCTGGAGAAATACATTAAATTATTTAGATGATTGTGAATTTATCTATTTCTACTTTTCTGTCAAGTTTTTTTTCTTCTTTTTCCTTCATATTTATTCTTTAGCTCCCTTGTTGCCCAGGTCATCATCATGATTTTGCTGTTTTCTTTCACAGAGAAAGAGGTTAGGATGTTGCTTTATCTAGTTTCCTTCTTTCCTTGCTTGCTCTTCTGGCTTTTTAGGCCTAGAGGTGGTCATGGTTTTCTGTTATGGCTAGTCCTGGGGTATTGCATTATTCTTAATATTTTTCTGCCCTCACCTTTGTTAATCATTTCTTGATCATACTCTTTTCAGTTACTCAATTTAAATGTAACAATATCCCATCTGTTTCTTTCAAGGTCTCTGATTGACAAATCGATATGCTTGGTAAGGCATTTTAGTTAGTAGAAAAATCCAGCGCAGAAACAAGAAATAGGGAGGAGACCTGTTGTGTCTGGAGTAGGATGAGTGCAGAGAAAAATTATAGGAGATGAAGTCAGAGAGGAAACTGGGGGAGCTAGATTAAAAATATGCCTGTAGGCTATTGCAAAGAATGGAGGATTGACCAGAGGATTGGTATTGATGCATATTTTATTAGGATCACTGTAGGTACTCTATTGAGACTAGACTGTAGTGGAGCAAGGGTTGAAACAGAAAATCTGTCAAGATATGTGAAAGAAGGGTTTTTGGACTACCATGGATTAGGGTATAAAAGAGAAAAATTAAGAATTTCTTGACTCCAAGCTTTGTGGTCTGAACTGCTGGAAGGAAGAAGTAGCCATTAGCAGAATGGGAATACTGAGTTGAGCTTTTTGATGGGAAGATCAAAAGTGCAGTTCTAAATACTGAGGAAAAATTTTACTACTTAAAAAAAAACTCAGTAAAAAAGTTATAGATATACCATGTTTTATTTTGTGATTCCCCTGTTATTTAATATTAAGTTAAAAATTTTTTGTAAAAAACATCAAGAGATATCTTAGTCTGCTTGGGTTGCTATAACAAATTTCATAAACTGGATTATTCACACACAACAGAAATTTATTTCTCACAGTTTGGGGTTTGGAAATTCCAAAATCAAGGTGCCAACTGATTAGATGTTTTAGTGAGGGCTAACTTTTTGGTTCATGTTGACACCTTTTACCTCTATCTTCACATGGTTAAAGGGGAAAATGAGCTGCCAGATAATTATAGTCTTTTTAAGAATTGAAATAACATTTATGAAGGATTCTCATTTGAAAATGACACAGCTATAATTCTTTATAACTATTCTGTAATAAAAGGCAGTAAGTATCTCATATTTGTAAGGAAGGTTATACTTTAAAAACTGATACTTTAGAAAGTAGCTAATTTATATTTTCTTTGCACTAAGAAAAATAGGGTAGCATAATCTGTCAGCCAATGCCAGGAAGTAATTAAGGTTGTACTGTGAGACCCTACTGACCACTACATTTTTGAGAATATTAGAATTTAAAGACCAGTGGTTCTCAAAGTTGCATTAAAAATGACCTGGAGGGCTTGCTGAAGCAGATTGCTGGACAATACTCTAGAGTTTCTGATTCAGTGTTCTGGGGGGCCAGAATGTTTGCATTTTTAATAATTTTCAGGTGATGATGTTGCTACTGGTCTTTGAAAGTGTGAAGACCAGATACTGAAGATGGTTGTTATTATCACCATGATTTAAGTTCTTAGTCTCTAGAGTATCTGACTAGTTATAAACTGGCCATTCTGAAATATGAATTTTCCACAACTACTTTTTGAGTGTCTTTGAACCGTGTCCAAAGTTCCAGGTGCAGATGATGTCAGTATGCCTAACTTGCTGTTAGGACAAAGCAGAGAGCCATTATTTGGTTTAATCCTGCACTTTAGAAAATCAGTCATAAATTAATGTTAGTTTAAAAACTTGAAAGTATAGAAGTTACTGAGAACTTTTGTAGTTCTTTTTCTACTTGTTTCATGTTGAGGTTCTTGGCCTTTATGTCACTTAGAGTTTTGTTCTTTTAATATGGATCTAGAAATATTAAATTTTGGGGTGGATTGCTAGAGAACATGAAATTGTAAGTAGTAAAATAAGGATGTATAAAGAAATAAAAAGGTTGAGGATATGTGTTAAAAATTCAACTATTCATGCTTTGGATACTCTTAAATAACATATATCTTCTGTATTATTATTGCCTATATTAGCATTACTATTAATGAAAAAACAAAGGTGGTTAATATTGTATTGTGCTTCATCTTTTTTTGCTAACCCAAATTTGAAATGTGAATTTTAATAATACTTCATTTCTCCCTGATATAACTTATACTGTGGACAGAAGTTTTTGAATGCACTGCCTTTAACATAGTCATATATGTAGTACATTTCTGTGATGTCCTCTCTGTAAGTCAGGAGAATCATTGTTGATAAAGGTATGGTATATGTCACTTGTCCCTTGTAATGTGTGTTTTCTTTATTCTCTTTTTTAGGTGATACTGTTAATATTGGGGATGTATCCTATAAGTTGAGAACTCCTAAGAACCCAGAACTTGTGCCACAGAACTACAGTAAGAAATATTTATTTATGAATGAATATATTTTTACCTTTTTTAATGGGAATTTCCAAACAAACACAACCTAGAGAGAATATTAAAAAAAGTGTAGGATCTAGTTTATTAATATTATGCCAATCTTTAACTTGAACCTCTTTTTTTTTTGTTCTGGAGTATTTAAAACCTATCCAAGACATCCTATTACTTTCTTTATTCATGACTATTTAGTAGAAACATTAGTTTTTCTCACTACCCTTAAAAAAAAAAACTTGGGATAAAGTTTACATCTATTAAAATGCATAGATTTTAAATGTTTATTTGGTTAGTTTTGACAATTTTATAAACCTATATAACCACCAGGATTACTTTTATTACTCCTGTATTGGCTTTCCATCTCTGTGACAATATACCTGACATAAACTTAGATTAAAGGAGGAAAAATTTATTTGGCTCATGATTTCAGAGGTTTCATTTTATGGTTGGATAGCTCCATTGCTTTGGGCCCATGGCAAGGCAGAACATAAATGTGGCAGAGTGAAGGTACCCACCTCATGGTGGCTGGGATGCAGAGGGATACAGTCTAGAACAAGATATATCCTCAGTGACCTACTTCCTCCAACTAGGCTTTACTCCTAAATTTTCTACTACCTCCCAAGAATGCCACCAGCTGGGGACCATGTCTTCAACACATAAACCTTTGGGGGATATTCCAGATTCAAACTGTAACAACCTCCAAATGTTCTCTTTGCCTTTATCCTGTCTTTTCTGCCGTGATAGATTAGTTTTACCTACTCCTTAGGTTTTTAAAAGTAGAGTCATGCAGTATGATTGTGTGTGTGTATCTAAGTTCTTTACATCAAGAGAATGAATTTAAGTTTATCCATGTGGCTGCACCTATCTGTTTGTTTTGATTTCTGAATACTAGTTTATTGTAAAAAATACCAGTGTGTTCATCCATTCTTCTGTTGATAGATATTTGGATAACTTCCATTTTTAGATTGTCATAAATAAGGTACTATGAAAATTTGTTTACAAGTCTTGTGATCATAAATTTTCACTTCTTTTGAGTAGAAAACTAGGAATTGAATTGATGTATTATAGGATAGATACCTGTTTATAACACACTGGAAATAATTCTCCAAATCAGTTGATCAGTTATACTATTCCCATTTTTTTTTGGTACCAGGAATTGAACCCAGGGGTACTTAATTACTGAGTAGTATCCCCAGTTCTTTGTTTTTATTTTGAGATACAGTCTTGCTATGCTGTGGGACTCACTGAATTGCTGAGTTTGGCTTTGAACTTGTGGTCCTTCTGCCTCAGCCTCCAGAGCCACTGGGATTACAGGCATGCATCACTACACTTGGTTGTACCATTTAACTTTTAACAGTGATATTCTACATCCTTACCAACATTGGTGTCTTATTCTATTAAGTATGAAATAGTAACACATTGTGGTTTTTGTTTATAAGTTTTGTTCAGATGTAATTCATATACCATAAAATTCACTTTTAAAGTGTATAGTTTATTGATTAGTAGCATATTCAAGGAGTTGTATAGCCATACCACTAACTTTAGAACATTGTTATTACCCCTGAAAAGTTACATATTAATAGCCACTCCCCATTTTTTCCTTTTCAACCTCAACCCTTGGTAATCACTATGCATTATGTTTTTTATTCAGGACATGTTATATAAATGGAATCATACAATATGTGGCCTCTGTATCTGGCTTATTTCACTTAACATGTTTTCAAGGTTCATTGTTATCATAGTATGTATTACTATGGATGAATTATATTCCATTGTATGAATATGTTACAATTTGTATATGCATTTATCAGTTGATGGATATTTGGTTTCCACTTTTGGTCTGTTATGAGTAATACTGTTGTAGAAGTTTTTATACGGACATATGTTTTCAATTTTCTGACATATGTACCCAGGAGAGAAATTGCTAGGTCATATGGTAATCCTTTGTAACATTTTGAGCAATTACCAAAATGGTTTCCAGAGCAGCTGTACTATTTTACATCCCCATCAGTAATGAATAAGGGTTCTCATTTCTCAATATCATCTCTGCTTTTTACTGTCCATCATTTTGATTGTAGCCATCCTTATGCATGTGAAGTGGTATCTTATTTTGCTATTGTGCTTTTGATTTGACTATTCCTAATGACTTGCCATTTCTTTACTCAAAATCATTTTACTTCTTTTCTCAAGAATTTAAAACATCTTTCTTATACCTTAGGAACAAAGATAAATCCTTTGCTATTTTGATCTAGACTTAGCCTAATCTTTCCACTCTCTTTTTTCTATGTTTCAGTGATTGAGCACAATATAGAACATGTTTTTTTTTTTTTTCCTCTTTAGATTTTTCCACTAGACTATGTGCTCTTTAGGAAAGAAATCTTATTTTCATCTAATGCAAAATTACATTAACTCTACCTCCTAAATGGCTTTGCCATCTGTCTTCTCTACTCTGTCCCCTCTTTTTTTTATTTTATTTTTTTCTTTAATTTTTATTGTTGGTTGTTCAAAACATTACATAGTTCTTGACATATCATATTTCACACTTTGATTCAGGTGGGTTATGAACTCCCATTTTTACCCCTTATACAGATTACAGCATCACATCAGTTACACATCCACTGTTTTACATATTGCTATACTAGTGTCTGTTGTATTCTGCTGCCTTTCCTATCCTCTACTATCCCCCCTCCCCTCCCCT